GGAATAAATGAAAATTTTAGCAGGATCATCTTCTGTATCGATAAATTTAATTAACGCCTTGGGTTTTATACAGGTTAGAAAAGGAATGTCACAAGAGTCTCCAGTCAGTAACTCGTAGAAATGCTAAACTATAAAGAGTTTCTTGGAAACTTCTATTAATTAATTAAAATTAATTAACATCAAAATTATATAAAATATTTGGGCTCATCATGAATCTAGTTGGAAACATAACGAATTAATCATTTTTTAAAAAATATATTTCTTATCTAAATCATTATTATAATGGGCATTCATTTCAAAATACAAATTGTTTGATTACCTTTTTAAAATAAATTTAGGTTTTGTATGAGAAATAATTTATTTATATTTGAGAATAGGATCTGGTGAGACAAGAATTAATTTATAATTTTCTAATCTGGCATTCTCGACAAATTATTTATAAAAATGTTTGTATTAGTTTCCTGAGAATCTTTAACTATTTAGTTCAGTTTTTTTTGGCGCGCGAAGTGAAAATGGCGGTAGTTTAATCAGGGTTAAGTAGCGCTATCAACTGCATGTTAAACGACTGGATTCTAACTGATTTTTTTTTAAAAAACGGCTTAACTCAATATTTTATTCAAAAAAAAAATATTACGTTAAACCCTTAAAGATTGCTTACATATGGCACAAAGAATAACAACAATAATACTATTCAATCTCTAGAAGTGTTATCTTCTGATGGCGATGTTATATTACCGAAGAAAAGAATGATGATTCCGTAAAATTTAGGAATTTTATTTAATTAATCTTATTCACAAATATTTAAAAATGTTATATATATGCGTCTGCACTATCTTCCTTTACCTAATTTTTCTAAATGTTTAGTTAATTTATTTATTAGAAAAAACAATTCTCAAACCTAGCCCTTAATTCATTCAAACCAAATTTTGAGTTATTTTATCGATTGTAACAATAAAGATGACTTTTATATTATAATATGATTAAGGAAGCAGAAGTGAACAAATTTTACGGATTATACCTGCTATTTTTTTAGAATATTTTCCAAGGGAGGCATATCGATTCATGGCTCTGGGAAATTGGGGGAGGGCATAGGGGCCACAGCAGCGTCTCAGCTTTACCAACCAATATTAACATTAACCTTCTAAGCCTTGCAAATACTAATAAAATTATCAAATGTAAAAATATTAACTGTAACGTCTATCAAACTTTAGTTTGCGCCTATTCACTTTCATATAAAAAGTTTAGATCTAAAAATTAGAAATACTAACACTAGAACTTAGGTAATTCTTTATCCTAAGGCAGAATAAAAAAGTACAATTTAACAATTATGTTTTTGCTAAAATATTTCAATTCTTAAAGTTTATATAGTATTAATATAATATATATCTATTTGTTATAGAACTTGTTAAAATTACAGATTGTATTAGTGTTTTTAAGTGGTGAAAACCTCTTATCAGTTGAAAAATTAAGAGTTGTACTAAGCCACCAACATATACATGTATAAGATATTAAAAAAAACAGCGAATCGAAAGGAAGAACATTGTTATGAAGTCAAGGAAGATATGCAAGAGATGTAGCAATTAATTCAATAAGGTGAAGGTCATTATTTTCAGAATTATTCGAGAATACGATCGATAATTTTAAGAATGTCACAGTCTCCCTTACAATTGAATAACTACGCAAGAGAGAATAATAATTATAAATTTAGAGAAATTGATTATACCCATTGAAGATAATTATATATAGGTGGTAGATCAAAATAAAACAACAAAACATTATTTCGAATATCAAAAATACACAAAAACTGGAAATACCGTTAGCTTGTATCTAACAAATCAACATTATGATGTAATGAATAATGGATATTGGTGTAAGTTACACATTTTTAATGAGGAAATACAAAAAAATTAGTTTACGAAAGAAAAAATGAAATTGGAAATAAATAAATAATTCAATGTTGTTATATGAGGAAAGTAATTGTTAAAAGAGTTCCCATTATAAATAATTTCGAATAATTCAAAAATAGTATAATAAATAGTTTCCTATTCGACAGATACTTTTTCTCATTATTCATATTAGATATTGTTATTCGTATTCGTAAAATACATCGAATTTTGAATAACAAATAATTCGTTTTAGGCCTATACTTGCTAATTTTCAAATTAATTTTAATATCATGATCTTTTTATTTCATTCGATTTTGAAATTTATATTTTAAAAAATATGGCATGAGTTTTAATAATTAAACGACAATAGAGATTAATATTGAAAATAATTTTGCTATAGATGATATCGAAAAAGTAATTTCGCTGAATGCAGGGTATAAATTTTGTTGTAAGATGTGCCAGACGGTTTTTATCATCAAACAATACTATAAGCTTTAACTTGAGAAAACATTTAAAAAGTAATATATCAAACAAATTTAAATATCAATGTGTTGCCCAATCCATATATCTAAGATAAACAAAGCTGCATCTCTATTACTTTTTGATCTAGATGAGTTTATGTGAAAGTGGCCCCATTCTAAACATGGTATATTTCAACTGGCAAATTAAAAAAATTTACAATGATATTAATGTCATAATTGAATGTAAATATTTGAAAAATCATCGTTGGTAAAGAATTATTAAGTTATATTTTATTTTTAGATTGATAGAATTAGTTTATTATGAAGTCATTATGCACGATTTTTTAATTATTTTTAATTTAGGGTTTGTTTTTCATTATTTCCCTTTATATATTCTTTTTTATTTTTATTTTTTTGGATTTAAAATCTGCTTATTTTTGTTATATAATTTGAAATTTAATAAAGTTTTGACTCCAAGAGAATCTGTGCATTAATATTCAAATGGTAATAAGAGGACAACGTAATACATCTCATTTTATTCACCATCGGACTCATTCTATTTAAATGATAATAATTTTATAAATTATTATCTAGATGTTAAAAACATAGCTGCTATAATGTTCACCCCTATCTTCAAGTTAAATTGGCCATACATTAATTTGATTGAATCCAAAGTGATGATACTAATGTTTTAACGTTAAGTATTTCTATACCAAACCAGGATACCCTAGTCCAGAAATTGTCACTTATACTGTAGATAATTTTTTTTTAGAAATTAGTTCCTGAAATTTTCCTAACAGTGGGATGCACAAGTAAGGACTTTCTCAAAGGAAAGCCCAACAAACATATTTTATTCTTCCACGAGGTAAATTTTCTCCATATGACCCGTATAACTATAACGGTTACAAATAATATGTTTCTTACTAATTTTTATTTTTTCTCATAAAATATTACTATAATTTCCATCGACCAAATATTTTAAACGCATAGTATAAAATCATTATTTTTATAAATTTCTAGATAGTAATTTTCATTAGTTCTTTTAAATTCTATCTTCCTTTTGATACGCGATGGTTCGAGCCCGGGTCGGGCCTAATATTTTTAAATAAAATTCGGGCCAGGTCGGGTCTGGCTTGGAAAAATAAATTTTATGTTGAATTTTTAATGTAAAATAAAAATATTTGATTTTATTTACAGAATTAGACGCCATACAACATGTGTCTTTTATTTTGAGAAATTGTAAAAATTAATTTTGTATATTTAAATAAGTTCGGGCTGGGCCGGGGTTGAAAAATTTGGCCTGATGCAGATCACTAATGTAAACATTAAATTTTAAATTGAAATAAAATATTATTTTATAATATTTGGGAATCAATAACACCGAAATAAATATTTTCTATCGATATTTGGTTCACATCAGTCATAACGGAACTTCTATTTCAACAACCTTAAGTTACCCCTTCCAAATGAAGACTATTTACTATGATTTATAATTTTATATTTTCAATTTTATCAAAACATATTCAATTAATTGTTAATATTACCAGATTTATCGGAAGGACACAAAAAACATTCTTGTTTTATCAATATTATCCATTATCACCGGAATTGTTCAATTTACGGATTTCCGAGTTTAATTAAATTTCTAATCAAAACGCTTAAAGTTTATAAGGGCAATCATTTTCAAACAGATTCGTTTAAAAATTATTTGCTATTTTTTTTAAAAAAAAAAAATTTTTCACACCACTAAAATTTATATTAGGGAAAAGATTTAAATAATTCTAGCGTTTTTAAGATGAAAAATAAGATTTAAGCTGTTTCCTACACCATAAGAGATTTAACTAGCCTCTATCTCCCTTACTTGACAAATATTATATTTGTCAAAAATATTCATTTTACATCTATTTAAAAGTTTTAAGTGCCAATATAAAATTAAGCCTGTTACGGTTAATATTATTTTTTTGTTGCATTAAAATAACATCCTGCCAAAAAAATTGACAAATATTTTATTTTACATTTACTTAAAAGTTTTTAAAAATTAATAATTTATTCTAAGCCTTAAGGATAATGCTAACTTAAATGATAATAAATCATATGAAGATACCACTAATGACTAGAACATCAATACCAAAAAAAGGAAATTTTTAGATCACATTTTTGTCATTAACACCTGAAACATCATGCCAAAAAAATTGCATATATTGTCATATCACTTTAAGCCTGTTACGGATAATATTAACTAAAAACAATAAATCATATCATGATCCCCGGTTTACCACCAATAACCTAAATATCATACCAAAAATAAAGGGGAATCCTTATGATCACCTTTATTATAATTATCAATTAATTAAACTTAAATATTATGCCAAAAAAATATTATGTAGTATATCAAATTATTTAAAAAATATATACTTTAAATTAATAGATTTATTCTACATCTATCTATTTAAAATTCCCATAATTATTTCATTTTGGTTTTATAGATAATATTTTCTCTTCTTAGTTGGATAAAATAAGAAATGGATTTAATTTTAAATTAGCAATCTCTGAAATCATTAGCAAGGCCTATTTAATTTTATTAATTATAATATTGGATGTTTTAGAAAAAATTTTGATTATTTCTTATACGCTTTACGATATTTTATAATTAAAATCAAATCAAACATTTAATAGTTAATAGGATACGACCCATAAAATGGAAAAATTATGTATCATAGCACTTTTCTTTATTATCAGGGGACAGTATAAAATTTTTTCTCAAGGTAACAATTTATATATAAATATCTTATCTATTTATTTATCTTCGTAAATTTTATCTCTCCCTTTTATGACTATAAATCTCAAATTTCCATCTTTAACGTTGACATAACCAATTCCATCTATCATTTCTCTAGTCTTTTTACCAAGATTTAATTTTGAATATATTCTCTTTTCCTTTATTATAATGGTTACTCTTCCACTTATTTTCTTATAGAACCGTTGCAATAAGTATAACCGGGAGTTTTTTACAACAATAAATAATTAGATAATTATTTAATTTTTTTAAATCTCCAAAATACAATAAACTTCCCTTTATAAAACATTCCTGACCATAATAATAACTAAATAAAAATAACACTAAAATTGCCTATTACAAATAATTTTTAATTTAACAATTTTATATTCAAGCATAGAATGCAAAATACCATACTCGGCTAAGGTTCTTCTTACTCCTTAATTATATTATATCCGTTCAGTTAAGATTTAATCTCGCTATGATGAGATATGGTATTCCATATAATATTATTAAGGTTAACAATTAAATAGGAGTCTATTGAAAGAAAGACATGTAGTTCTGGCATCTTAAAACAAAGATATATATTAATTAAAAAATAATTTTTCCAATATTTTAAAATTTTATTGTTTTTTTTTTTCATTTCCATTTCATTATTGCTTAATATTATTTATTTGGCCTTTGAATAAAATTAATTTTTAAATTAATTAGTATACCAATTGACCTGACATCAAAATTTAATGTCCAAAATTATGAAGGCAAGAAATTTATCTATTACTATTAAAAATTATATGTTGGATAGAAGTTAAAATTAGCTCAAATATCAATAATTTATTCTTAATCATCATCCATAATATTAATATAACTACCATTAAATTTCAAAGATCTAATATGCATTAATATTTTTTTTTATCATTACTAACAGTTCCACCGGTAACAATACCCAATTTATTCAATATTACAATGATGGATTCATTTTTTGGGGGTAAAAATAGTTTTGTCGATACAGTTATAATTTTGGAGACCGAATATACTACAGATCAAGAATTTAATTGCGCAAAGGCTTTGTTCGCGGTAATGTTTAAATAAAAAAAATGAAAACATAACTATTTAATGAAACAATACTTACCAAAAGTTTCCATTTTATTTTATTATGAATGATTTAATGAATTCTATTTTGGAGAATCAAATTACATATGTTATAACCTGTTATACCCTGATATACCCTGTTATAAACTGGCCCCTGGCCTTTTTTTTAGCCTTACTATTCCTGACGATTTAAATGTATTTTTTAAAAAATATATATATATTATCAACTTAAACTTATTTTTCCTTTTTATTACATTATATTTTGTGGGTAAAAGAGATTTGGACAGAGAGGATGGGCGAAAAATTTTGACTATCGCTCTCCTGATTAACTGAGGTGTTTATTGAATTAACCTTAACAAGAGATCTACCTGAAGGTTTTAGATGATTAGTAAAAAAGATAAAAAAAAATCAATTTATTATAAAACAATATTATGCGTATCCCAGCCACTAAAGCATGACAAATTATTTTTTCATTTTTATGACGTAAAATACACAAAATAAAATCTTTCTTTCTTTCTTTCTTTCTTTCTTTCTTTCTTTCTTTCTTTCTTTCTTTCTTTCTTTCTTTCTTTCTTGATTTAATATCATTAAATAGGTTTTGATAAATTTAAATTTATATGTTATTTTTTATAATATTCAGCAAATTAATAAAAATGATTTTGAATCAATTTTTTTAATAAAATTAAAGTAACAAAGGCGGAGTTTTAAAACATAACGGACCTTCCAGTATTTTTTTTTAAATGTTCATTTTGAAAGAAAAAATTTAGAAATTTTATAGCGCTAACGCACAAGCCAGAGTTTATAAGGGTATGTAGAATTTGGCGTTAAAAAAAAATCTCAATGATTTTAAAATTAGCAATCCTCTTTTGAAAAGTTATTTAGCCAGCTCACAGGTCTATCTATCCCATACATACGTTTTATTTGAACACACAGTACTTAAATTGATAAAGAATTTCTGAAAAATTTATTAAATATTATTTATCTACTATATATATGTGATTTATTTCAATTAAGGAACTGGGTTACATATTTATTAAAATAAACCCTATAGGACTAACAGGAGCTTTTATAGGCGTGGTCACATATAATGAAACTACACACCTTCAAATGCCACTAAGAAAAGCTACAACATATCAAGAGTTGATTTTGGGAGGATTGCCTTCCTATACTTTGTCAGGTTTAATAACTTTTAATTTACGTGTTTTTTTATAAGTTAACCATCAATTTGTCATTATACTTTTGTTACCAAAAAATATAATAATTGAATTGCTGTAGATAGATAAAGTATAAATTTTTACAAAATATTATACATATTTTTATGCTTGTTTTTAAAGAAATAAACCTTCAATTTTATAAAAAAAAATTTTAAAAGTGGATTATCAAAAAATTAAAAACATGTGAGGGACCATCGGTGAATATTATTTGCGTCTCTTTATTTAGATTTTTTTTCATAAAATAAATAGGAAATGTTAACTTTTTTCAAACTGATGAAAATAAATTTCTATATAATGATTAATGAATAAGTCCAAGTTCTAAATATTATATATCACATGAGTCTTGTTAAACTACTCGTGAGCTGATTTTTAAAAACGCTTAACTCAATATTGCCCAATATCGTCTAAGCTTGGTTAATAGATATCCAAACCATTGAGACATCTATAGCGAAATTTTTAGTCCTGCTTTAAACTGTTCTTAAAGAAATCTTATTAAGAGGAACCGTTTAACAACACCATATCACAAGGTAGCTAAAAACTTGTTACCACATAAAACTGTCATATAATTTGCCAAATGCGTGTCAATTTTTCACATTGTCATTCTATAGCTCTAACTAAACTTGTGTTTGTAGATATTAAACGACCTTTTCCAAAAAAAAGGTTTTACACTTATATAATTAGGGTTCTTTACATTTAATATTAAATTAGCATTTCACAATTGATAAAATTAGTTAAAATTCATATTTAGTCTGAGAAAATTTTTTATATTCCAAAAATTGAAATTTGCTTTTATAAATGGGCATTTTATTTTATTAATAATTATCTATGAACCATTTTTTTAAGCTTCTTATTAAATTTTAAATCTTCAATGTATAATTAAGTTTTGAGCTATGTGAGATAATATTCCTCCAGGGATAATACAATCCCCGGTTTCTTTTAACAAATAAAATTGCAATGTAGAAAATAGTGTTGTAAAAAACGGCTAACTTAATATTTTAGCCAAAAAAAATAGCATAGGCCTCGATATTTCGATAATATATGTCTAGACCTATGTTCATTCTATTGGCAAAATCTTCAGGCTTAAGTTTTTCTTGATATATAATATTGAGTTAGCCGTTTTTAAAAATCGCTCAAAACGAGCCTTTTAGCAACACTAGTAGATAATTGAAAGAAGCTCGCTTACCCACTATATAATAAAATTGTACAGATATTAAATAAATACATGAATGATATAAACTAATTTAGCTTCACAAACAAACACCAAAGTTGATGGCAGTCTCGCTCTAGCAAATGCGATGCTTAACAAGGCCGGAAGATCAGGTGCATTAAAAAAAGTGTGGCTCTTTCTATCTAACACTTCTTCTACAAACCCTCTACCAATCGCCCAAGCCATGAAAAATAATAGTAAAATTTAATTTTCTATGAAATATATATGGTGAATTCCTAAAAAAACACACAATTTTCAACCCGTCATCCAAAGATCTAAAATTTTATTTTTACAAGAGTGTATGTATTTTAACTAAAAAAAAATATTTTAGCCTCCAATTCTAAACAGAGGTTGAGACTTAAATCTCTAAAGCCGAAAAATGGGACATTTTTAACAAAATAATATCTTTAAATTTGTTTGAGCTAGAAGCGCTATTTAGCCTAATGGTATACTTTAAAGTTATTCAATGTTTAAGATATTGTTAAAAAATATATTAAATGTCAAAAATAGGAAATGAAAACCATTGATCATAAAATCAAATAGGCATCTATTTATTTTTTTATCTCTCATAGGATTAATGAATAAATTAATAAAAAAAATTTCAAACTTGAACCAAGATCAAGTTTATGAGATATGGCAAATTTAATAATTAGTCAATTGCAAATACTCCAAATAAACATTTGATATTAATCAATAATTGTAATATAACCTCAAAAGCTATCTTTATATTAAATATTTAAAAGATAAGTATATTTTATGATAATATTTGATTTTCATATGTAAGCATGCTCTTATTGCTAACTCTTTGATAATGTTTGTCAGGGACGGTTAGGAAAAAAAATTCATTCATCTTTGATTCCAAAGTAAAGTTCATGATTGCACGAAACAAGGGGGGCGGGGGACTTGCACTTAGAATTTGCATTTGATTAAAAGTCTTAGAATCTGTATTTGAAAACGGTCTCGTGATACAGAATCGAAGATATAGTATTTATTTAAAGAAAAAGTTTATTTTTATTTAAGAACATCGAATCACTGCTGTACGGACAATATCATAATATGTATATATAAATATATACGAATTTCAACTCTGATTAAAATTATTAACTTTTAAACGAAATAAAACATATAACATGTCCAATTAAAGTAACGCCTTAAACCATGAATTTATAAATAAACATTATTATGAAATGAAATAAAATATTATTTATAATATAATAACAAAGTCCAAGGCCTTAAGAGTTAAAAATATAAATAATCTATTACTTAACACTTATTATAAAATTATTTTCATATATTGAGTATTATACACCATTAATAGAATATATTTTTTTTTTGATAAAATTTATAAATTTTGACTTTAAAAAACCCGATAATTTCGAGCTTTTAAAAATTGGACTTAAACAGAGTTGTGCGAAGAGTAAGATATTGCTCAAAAATTTGATCAAGATATTTAAATATCTTTTATTTTTTAAATTTTGAGCAACAATCTTTAAAAATCGAGATAGTTGAAGATCATAAAATTTAAAGATTTTTATTAAATGATATTTTTGGTCATCGATATCTTCAAAGATTCGTCTTTTAATATGCTATTGTAATTATTTATAATTTTATTGAGGTATATAATGAGCATGTTAAATTAAAGTTTCAATAAAGATGTACGAGTAACAATTGTCATAAGCATAATTTTTTAACTTTTAAAATTTTTTTGAAGCAAATGGGTAAAAATATATATTGTTACCATGTTAAATTAAAATTTCAATGAACATAATCAATAGTCATATTTATTATTTTTTTAACTTTTTTGAATTGTCATAATAATAATTTTTATAACTTTTTTAAAAAATTTTAGAGTCAAATGGGTAAAAATATATACTTTTAACATACAGCCTTTATAATATTTGGATTGGATAAAAAAAATATTTTTCATATACATATTTTTATTATTTCCAGTTTGACATTAAGATATTTTAAAGAATATACATTGTATATAACTATATAGGCCTACCGTTAGGCTATATAAAATAAATTGACGATTTCAGCTCAATTTTTTAATTTCCCAAAAATGCCATTTCTTTGACCATTAAAGACTTGTATTTTAACCTCTGTTAGGAGTTGGGTGTCTAAAATTTACTATTTCTTTCTCTTATATTTATAATGGGCGAAATCTCAAGTAAAAATTTGAGAGGGTCAGATTAACTATATTATTGGAACACATAAATTAAAATATAAATTGAATTTAGGGCTCAATCACTCTGTAAAACATTTTAAGAAAATTTTTCCAGTAATTTTATAGAAAATCAGTTCCCAATTCCTACTTTTAAAATGGCATTCAAAGTTTTTAAAAGTACCCTTTGATGCTTTATTCAATAATTGACAAAAGGCTTAATTTGATTTGATAAAAAAAAAATTTTTTTTTTATATTATTAGAAACAGAGATATATGTTTTTGCGGTATATGACAATGTAGACCCCGTTAAGTTGAACGGAATAGCTTCATCGGGCAATGTAATGTGGTTTTCCAAATATTGCGTCCTTCCTCAAAAATACATTTTTGATTCTTATGCTACTACTACTACGAGTCTTTCTCCTACATCTACTCCTGTTCCTCCTGGCTAAAAAGGCGCTTCCTAAGGGCAAAAAAAATATAATCCATAAACCCATTTGCTAATTTATAATAACGCGAAATATTGGTTTTATAATATTCTCTTTACTTTGCTTCTCTATATTTCATACATTTCTAAAAAATATCAAATTTCGTAAAAATATTTGTTTGACGTTATAAAAATTTTGGTCTAGGATTTTAATAGATTACCAATATATTTATTACACGGTATTTTTTTATTAAATACTAGTGATTATATTTATAAAAATATGAAAATTATACACAAAGTTTGTTTTTTTATGATATACTATACTATGATAAAATATTAATTTTTTTTTTTAAATTATATTTAAATTATATTTAAATTTTACCATTTTCGATTTTCTGATAAATTTATAAATATGATATTGCATAGTTTTCATTATTTTAAATAAATTATTAGAATTATAAGTGTATAAGTATTTATAAGTTAAACTAAACGGAATCATTAGGGATTTTAAGGGAAGGAAATGATAATACGGTTATTATCATGCTATAATCGTGATAATTTGGTTATATAAATATTAAATTTCATTATTATTTATTTATTTACATAAATGTATTTGGCTTTATGAAAGCAAATATGTCAAAATGGTTTATTAATTAATCGACAGCTAGTCAAAAGATTCGTTAACATAGATGTCAATCTTCGTCATATTTTAAATAAAAATAAGCAAAAATATTATTGTAAACGACATTTTATACATCTTGTCATTTCGACCCTTTATCACTCCAACACCTTATCCGTATTAAATTAGCCATTTGTTAAGAGGTGACCTTGTATTGTTAAACTTATCAATGACCAGATTTTACCCAATGCGACATTTAACCTCATAAGGCAAAGTTTTTTTTCAAATGTACACTGAAGCATGGGAACTAGTAAGCTCTTTAAATGGGATACGGGGTGGGGTGCTCGTCCTTGGAGAACTAGGTAAGCCAAGTGTTTGGCCGAAGTAATAGTAAATCGTTCACTCGATAAGCGAGGAAATAGAGTCGTTAAAACATATATGAAGAAAGAAAACAAACCACTATTTTTAATTTGCTAAAAGGGATTCGATAAAATATTTAAATTTTAATTCGAAGGATCTAAGGAGGGCATTATATTGGAAAGCCGGGTGCGCTTTAAAGATGCATAAGAATTTAGGTAAGAAGAAACATTTTTTGGTTAGGGAAAAATAACTGATGCTTGGGACGATGAGGGGATGATTCTTTAGCTAATTAAAAAGAGATTGAATCAAATTGTCAAAAAAATTCTTGACAAAGGGAAGTTGAAAACCCGATAAGAGAACCTAAAAGACAGTTCCTCGTGTAAAATGATTTTGAAAAAGGGTGAGGGATAAAATTCTTATTTTGAGGGAAGATTTCTAAAGGAAAGACAAATTTTCGAAGCTTCCATTTCAACGTACTCGATTGCCGATATAACATTGGGTAAATATCCTCCTAAAGAGCCATCGTCGAGATAACATAAGTTTAGGCTTCATTTTATATGAGGCTTTAAATTTTTTGATCAAATCCCAAATCCATATTAAAGGGCAAGAGAACTAATCCCCACTTCTGAGGATATGGAAAATTCCCCGAATTTGATTGACGAGGGAAATATATGATTTAAGGAAATACCACTATTGGGGGAAATGTTAGAAAGAGGGTAAAAATGAACTCCTGTGAATGTTCTTGAAAGCAGGTATTATGTCTAGCTTGCAGAAAACCTTATCAGCCTCGCTGTTTATAAAAATACGCACTATATGTGAGACCACTTCGCAACTACCTCTAACTCCAAAACCTAATTATGAGGGATAGCTCGGAACTGGCCTTAGAAGGGATCCTATTTACTAAAACCTTGACGACTAATCAAAAAATGACCCTAACGGTTATATACTATTATCAAGCTTGGTTAAAGAAACAAATGTGCACTAAATGGAATAGGGTGCATACAAAGTGGAACTTCGCTTATGAGGAGATTATCACACAAAACTCCGTTAATAATTTTTGTAAAGGGTCAAATAAAACCACTATCAAAGCATTGGTTTAAATCTACAAAAATCCATCCTAAACCACATGTAATCCCTTTTTCTAAAGGACTTTAAGCACTTATGAACTTTATCGCAGGGAAGGGAATAGGGGAAGAGCTTTGAGGGTGGATGTTAGAAGAGGATGCTAATTGAGTTTTTTTGAGAAGTTGTTGAAATATAGTAGCATTGATAGGAGAAATAGTATCATCAGAAGTCAAATCGGGCAGCACCGTTAATAACTCTTTGATCTAAATTTTTCAACAGGAAATATAGTTAGAAATCTATTATAAAGAGTTGTAATAAATATATTTGAACATATCGAAAAAATTCATTCTCTTATTAGAAGGATAATGATTAATAATAAATTCATTTAAAATTATTATGCATTTTATAATTTATATTATGACCAAATTTAAATATATAATATACATATAAGCATCTTTAAATTAAAAAAATGTATCTTGAAATAATAATAAATTTTATGAAGATCCCACATTATTAACCTTAATATCTAATTCCAAAAAAAAAAGAGGGGAAATCGTAAAATAACATTTTTTGTGACATATGCCAAAAAAAAAAATATTTATATCAAATAATTTCATTTTACTTACATAAAAGTTTTATAAATTAACAAGAGGGAAAAAAGCTAAAGCACATTTTTGGTCATTCAAACCATGACATCAGCCAAATAAATAGTATATATAGCCAAAATTTTTCATTTTGCATTTATTTTAATATTTGAGAATATTACTTTAAGCTTATTAGGGAGATTAATTTAAAATAACAATAAATCAAATGAAGAACCTTAGTTTACCGCTAGCTTAATATCATAACATGATAAAAAGGGGAAATTCGTATCACCTTTTTTTAGAATTATTAACAATAATTTTAAACATCAGGCCAATAAAATATGTATTATATCAAATCATTTTTTAACAAAATAGATTCATTTTTACATATATATGGTTGAATTCCATATCAAATCAACAAAAAAAAGTCGATTTTCAACCCGACCCTCTTCAATTTTTCTTAAATTTTGTATACTGGTAGTATATACTATAACTAAGAAAAAAATAAAATTTTACCTTTTAACACTGTTTACCCGTTAAGATATGGCCTTTTAAAGCGCGAAAAAATGGTACATTTTTTACAAAATACACCTCTTTTATTTCCAAATATCTTGAGAAATAATTAAGTTAAAAAAATAATTTAAATTTTATTTTGTAGCTTAATAGTTCTTTAAAATGAAATTAAAATAAATATGATGGACATTTTATTAATATCGAATACCGGATGTGTAAAACCAAAAATGGCCATAGAAAACAAAATGTATTTTTTTAAAAAAAAATTTTTATGTAGATAGATATCACACTGCTTTATATTTGTAAATCTCTTTCTTTAAATCATTTTAAAAAAAATTCAATATTATAAAAAACCAATTTGGATAACTAAAATTATATCTTAAAATCTTAATAAGGATATTAAAAATATTTATAGGAAATTGTTTAATTTTTTTAATTTTTTAGGGGGGTGGGGGGGGGTTGATATATTATTTTATTTTTTCCAGCTGTTTCAAGTTTTCAAAAATGTTTATAAAGTCATCGATCAAATACATTCTAAAAGTAACACGTTATTAGTAAAGTTTTGGGTTGTAATGACTAAATATCGGCTAATTCGACTCAATCTACAGACTCGTGCCATAACAATTGCGTTAACATTGAGTATTTTAATTTATTTTATATTAGTTTCTAATTTTAGCAACTATATTTTTAAGAAAAACCTAAACCAAAGTAATAATTAAAAAAAATACCAAATATTAGATGAAAATTTATATATATATATATAGATGATTTCTAAAATTTTGAATCAGTTAAGAAAAAAAGTGTTGAATTCTCAACTAAGATTTGGATGTGTTAAACACATTTCCGGTGAATTCCGTATATCACTATCACTTTCTACTTAAAGAGGTTGAATCCGCAAGGATTAGCTATGTTTACAATATTTATGTAGATATCGAAAATAAATCACATGATTCCACCTGTTAATATATAAATGTACGTTAAAAAAATGGATATTAAAAAGGGTTTTTCCGATTCCCACAAACAAAAAAGGTGGAGAATTTTTCCATAATTTCAATAAATAACAAATAATTTTATCCAACTTCTAGTAAAAGCTTATAAACATAACCGATTACGATCGTTCCGCCAGAAATTTTTTTATTAAAATATGAGCAATGAATCAGCCTTTGAATGTGGTAACGAGAATATAATAATGCACATTTTATCAAAATTTAGTGCAATGTTCTTTGAAAAAAGGTACCCATATGTTTTCATGAAACACTTTATTCTGAGACCAATTACACACTACAGTTTTTTTTCCCCTATTTATATAATATCCCATCCTAGCTCAACTAAATTAGCAACGAATTTTCTCGTCATATAGGGAATTATTATTACCAAATGGTGTTTGTTCCAAGATGCACTACTAAAATTAGTGTTCAAATAGGATCATTTTCAAAAAATTTGGCCAAAAAATTTGTTACCCAATTTCGGTGAGCTTAGATAGGATATTCAAAAAAATTTTAAACAAAAATATATAAACTTTTAAAGAAAATATTTATTTTATTATAAACAAAAATGTATTCCGTTAGTCTTATTACAATATTCCAAACCCATTTTTATTATAAATTCCCAAAATTATGGCAACAACTAGACAATATTATAAATATATATCACACTTATATTATGTAATACCCCTTTTTTAAAAATATAGAAATACATGAAATTTATATTTTGTTTAAAAAAATTAATTTATATAAAATCAAAATAAGAAAAAGAATATGTTAAGAATTGATTTTTGACAATTTGTGGTGATCACTATATCCGCTTTGTATCCTTCTTATTACTTCCCCGTTGTTTAGTGGATTCTTATTTATTTGTATTAAAATATTAAAAATAAAAAATATTGATATATGATGGGGAAATATAAATAAAATTTGTAAGGTTTTCCAATTGAAAAATAAATAGGTGAAAAGAAAATATTAAATGGCAAAGGCACAATCTACATGATCATAGGAGAGGAGTAGTGGCTATTTGCTTCCAATTTTTTT